ACAATTATCTCTTCTAGTTATGACCTTTGTATTTAGTTGCTGCATGACATAGGTTGCTAATCCTTTAAAATTTTTGCATGTGAAGGATATGAAACAAAATAATATTTTTTATGTTTTATATATACTTTTGAATTACTATATCAGTACCATAGAATTCCACCATAATTTATCAAGCTGGTAACAAAGCTGTAATTCAGTTTAAAAGAATATGAAATTTTGAGCAAACTAAAGACACAACCTACCTACTTGTATCTGTATTTTTTTTAATATTTACTTTTAAATTAAGAAATTGAGTGAGGTATAATACTAAAATTTGGATTATAATCTACAGTTTGATACCAATCTTATTGACATAAATTCATGAAATTCCCATCTGGAAAGGATTAAAAGAAAGAACAGTAACACAAAATTATGATGCACAACATTAAAAACAAAATATGAATTCATTACATGGTAATTTTACAATTAATCAGTAAAGATTACAACAGACAGTTCAGAATATAAATAATTAAAAGACTGGCTTTATAAACATGAGTGAGAACTTGCAAACTAACAGTAGGTTGTGACTACAGAAAAATTTCATAACTCCCACAATAATGCACTTTTTGTGTCTGTGCCCTTGGAAAAAACAAGGTAAAATATAATTATTTTTCAATACTTAAGAAGTGTTATGTAGACTTTTTTTTAATAGCAAATTTTGGGGGGGGATTTTTAATTACGATGGTAGAAAATATTATACCTTAATATACTGAAATTAGAAAGTGTTTTCTGTAAATGCTTAGCATACAAAAAATAACATGGAAACTAGTATTTTCCAAGTATTTAAAAGTGTGAAAAAGTCATTGAAAAAAATTATTTCGGTATATTAGTAAGTCGTTCAAGAGAATCCAAAGGTGAAAAGAAACTATATACATTGTGTGTGTTGAAGAAAGACAGTGTTAAACCAACAAGGTTACTGACTACACACTAAAGTATCTATAGCTGCAATGGGAGAATGTTACAAGACTTGAAGTGTGCAAATGCATAGCAAGTTTCCAGAACATGAGTCAGTTCTGTGTCTTGATACACTTATTGAATAGGCTTATTTGTTAAATACTTCTTAATGTATATGGTATAGTGTTATTTCAATGAAGATTGGATTGACTAAAGAACTTAAAATTGCGACAAGTGCAGAGAATGATTTGCAAAAGTATTAACAGACAAAAAGAAGAGAATGGTGAGATGTTTTGATATTGTTTTTGGAGCTTGGCTTTCTCGCTCACCATTTCTGTTATTTTTTTAACTCTAATGCATTGACCCAAATGTGTATGTCACAATATTTTACAGAGGTACATTCAAAATTTCTCTCAACACGGGCTCGGTCAATTTGACCAACCACGTGATCTCTTTGTACACGTTTAAAGTCTTTATAGATTTAATACTCCTAACTTTTAATATAGTGTGTATATCTTTCAGCTAATATTATATGTTTTTCACATACAAAAAATCATATTTTTAGTGAAGTATTTTTAATAAAATAAAGATTTGTTTATGAATATGTTGAGTATTTGTTTTGAATAGTCTATGTGCAAAGTAATTTTCATGTTAAAATTAAAAATACTTTTCCTCATCTCAAAAATCTCAAATTTCCTTTGTGTAATCCCTAAAACCTCACTGGATTTCACTCTTTTTTTTTTCAGTAAAACTTTATAGTTTATTTGTTATTTTCTCTACCCTATCTCAAAATGAAATTGGTCAATTTGACTGACCTCATAACCACCAAAAAAAAAATCGAAATATATCT